ACTTGTCATACAAATGTAACAATGAATTCAATGAATAGCCATTCGATGGTTAAGTCAAAGACAAAGCAGTTTCTTATTGTGATTCATAGTATGATTGGAGAAATGGTTGGATTTGGCGAAAGGACCGGAAGATGCGAAATAGCGGCGAACGGCTTCTCGGATGTGATTCGGAGTAATGCAATAGGAATGGGCTTCAAATGACAGCTTTGACTGATCAGTCTTTTTACGTTTCCTCGACTTCTGGCCATCGGTTCCATTAGTTAATGCATTCATTGCCACCGATTTTGATTGCGAAGACATAAAGAACGGATTGCTTTGCGATGAATGGTTTGCCAACAGGTCTTCACTTTCATTATTGGTTTGCGAGGCATTCGAGTGATTGAGAGGAAAGTCTTTGTTAATCATTTTCTGCGGCAGAAGTGATGCCAAGGGATCGCATACATCGCGCTCTGAGTCCTGTTTGACAAGAAGTGCCAAATCGACGACCTGTGAGACCGTCTCTTTCGCCAAATACTGCAACACTTCTAACGCCAAAGCGTTTGGTTTGAGTTCCAGTTGTGAGTCCTTTAAGAGCCAGTCCTTGAACTTCGGGCGACCGCTCTTTGTGGCGAAACTCGATTGACGCGATTCACAGAACGCAGGATAATCTGATTCAGAGATACTGCTTGCGATCCGATCGCACCGAATATTCCTCTCGTGTTTCACTGAATCCACAAATTTGTCGTCAAATACCACCAGAAGAGCACCGGTGCTGTCGATTGAACTCAAGAAATCGTAGCACAGTTTCACATGTTTTGTCTGTTGCGGTGGCTTTGGTGTCACCTCTTCAGAAGCCGTGCCGTTCGTATTATCGTTGGATGTGTTGGTGGTGTCCAGAATGGATTCGCTATCAATACCCTGTCTGATGGCACTGACGCCTTCCTTAACGGAAAGGTGTTTCACTAAACGGCTTAACTTCTGGCGATCGAAACGCATGAGGAATAGGATCTCTTCGAGACCAATACATTGTGAACCTCTGGTGCGAGCGATGTCTAAGGCCTGCCATAAGAAGGCAGTCAACTGTTGATGGACTATATGCTCGACCAGTTGTGCCGATTCATAGAGTGGTCGCTCGTAATCACCGAAACCATACATCATTTGTTGGATCTCTTGTGTGAAAGTGGTTCGCGAGATGTTTGGCGACCACTTTGTGCCCACCGGTGATGACAATAACTCATCCAAAGTTGGATTAACTATTGCCATGTCTTCACGTCTATTGACTCTGATCTCCAATTCAGTGTCAAATCATTTCTGCAAATGTGTTATGTTTTCAAATGTCTATTCAAATACAACGTTACTTATATAACAAGGTTTGAGACCCCATTCATATCCCTATCAGATACCAGTGGTATCAGTCACTAGTCTATCGTTAAAAAGTTACATAATGTTTGATAGTTTCAATGCAACCCTAACCCATAGATTTATGTAACAGTTGTTGTTTTCAGTGTTATATAATATTCTTCAATTCTCTGTCAAATATTCTCTTCATATTTCTAATTACAAACGATTGCAAAGAATTTGAGATCAATTACATTACTATTGTATCAATAATCACTTCAAACAATGTCATCAGTCATTGTATTTAATGTATGCATTTATTTGCAAATACATTATCAAAATTGTATATAAACTACAGTATTATGAATCATGAGATTTATGATTAGCCAGGAATCTGGTCCAATGATTCTGATCGCCCTCTTAGGTGCACATCGAGTGGGAATTATTTGAACAGTTTATCTAAAAATATAATTTATGACTATTTATTTTTTTGTATTACAATAAATGTATTAAACAATACATATAATCAAAAGAAATACAGTTTTTAACAGCAATAGTAAATTATTGTTCAGTTCAAAGAATTTGTTTCATAATTCAGGCATAATATGACACAATATATGACTGCAAACGCTATTTGAATCATCATTTTACTCAAGAATTAAAGAATTTCAATGATTGGTTACATTCGTGGTTAACAAGCAATTGATTCAATTGTCATAAACTTATGGAAAACAAAGAACTTTAAAATACATTATAATAAATGACTTAAAAATCAAATCAAACTTTCGAAGAGAGATATCCTATAAATGCCAATAAATATAAACTTTTAACACTATTCTAATCATAACTGGATTTTTGGTGTCAATTGAGTTTCTCGAAGATTTGTCGCACTTCTTGAAACACTTGGTCCGGAGGAAGATTGGCGTCCACTTTGCGCACGAGATTAGACTTTTCGTAGTACTTAATGATAGGCATCGTGTCGATGAGATAAGTGTTGATCCGTTTGTTCATACTTTCGGGATTGTCATCACTGCGACCACTGCCGGCCTCTCCGCGCTTCAGACATCTCTGGACGCATACATCTCGCGGACAGTCGAAGAAGAGGACGAACTTGACGTCCGCTTTGTGTGTCATCTCTCTCTGCCAACCGTCCAAATTGTTTTGATTGCGGGGAAAGCCGTCGATGAGAAACTTGCCGCCGCTTCCGGAC